AAACAGTGAACAGATGCCACATACTGATGGAGAGTTTGCACCGTATTTCAAAAATGTTACTGAGGCATTGATGTTTTGTTGGATACAAAAACATAACATATGTAAGGAAATATTTAATGATTTTCTTCCATCATTTTCATTATTAATCAATTTTTGTTTTATTATTATACTAATAGCTACCCGAGCTTATGATGAATTAGTGGATATAATTAACCATCCAAAGTTCAAAAGTGAAGATGTTGTAACAAATTTTGCCTCTACTCCCGATCAAATCACGCAAAGTTCATATTTCAAACAAAAAAACCCCATCAACCTCTAAAGAAATCAAGGATATCTATTATTTATCTATTACAGATATCATTTGGCATTCCCTTAACAATCCATCACTGTTTGGCCAAATGTATTTTGGTCCAGGTAAAATAGTTGAAAAAAATATAGAACTCTGGCATGGAGACTTACTATGGAAGGAATCACCGCGATTTGGATGTGCATTTACTCAAATTAATGGAAGTATGTCATAATTTTTTTTAATGCATTACTATGAGAACTTTTATTAATATATAATATTTATTATTAAACAATTCAATTTTAGAGATATACAATTGTGGAGATTTTGTAGTTTATAAAGAAACAGTATCAAAGATTGGTAGAATCTTAGCAATAGTAGAAATGCATGGTGAACTCAAAATAATCATCCAACGCGTTTTAAGGTTTGATGAATTGCCAAAAAATTTACAAAGTAATGATCGTAGAAAAAGATCACATATTGAAGTATGGTTGTTAGATTGCAATCAATAGGTTCGAAATTACTAATTTAATGAAATTAGGATGTCCGGTTTACAGGCTTCAAGATACGCGACAGATATGTTCTATGAGCGTAGTTGATACAAGTAGTACTGTACATTTTGTTCATTGTTGTCATGACGATGAATGTAATAGTGGTGAACATGATTTTGGGAATAATTTATATATGAGGAATATATATTTCTTCAAAGCCATTTAATGTTGGTTAATGTTTTTCTGCGAGGTATTAGATTAATTTTATGTATCATGTACTAATTAACATTGAAACATCAAAAATAATTATCGTTGCATTTACTAATTTTTTTAAAAAACGTTTATAATTCTTTTTGATATATTTACTAATATTTGTTATATATTTACAAAGTACTATAAATATATTTACGATTTATTTATTAATATTTGCTATATATTTACAAAGTACTATAAATATTTTTACGATTTATTTAATAATATCTAACAACTTCGATAATAAATTTTTTTTTGGTCGTCATATCGTCATCGATCGTCTTAATGCGCAGTAACTGCATATCGGCCATATACAGATTAATGGTTTACTAGCTCGTAACGAAACTATTACTAATTAGATATACCATTTAGTCACGATTTGGTCACAAGCTTTTGACTATTGATACATTTCTGTAAAGGTATTTAATAATTCTTTGGAAAAATAATAATTTTTTGTATTTACGTTTAATAGTTTAAGAAATCCAAAGATGCTGTTAAATTGATTCAGCGGACTTTCGACATAGAAATATCTGGTGATACCCATTCTATCTATAAATAAAAGATTTTTGTATTTTCTTTTTCTTTGTAACAAATCGTGAAAATCATGTGATTTTAATTTTAAATGACTTGAGAACGATAAGCACAATTCTAATATTTTTATTCATTCACTTTAAATAGTTTCAAATATATAAATTGTAAAAATAAATTATTAACTAATCATCCTTTTGTAAGTAATTTACTGTCACTACTTTTCTGGAATATTTGTTTCAAATATCTTAACAGACTCGACTTTATGGGCTCTTAAAAAAAATCTCTTATGGCTGATATTTCTATACTAACAGTTAATTCTTACTTTGATTTATGAAATATCACAATGAAATTTACAACTCCAAGTTATGGTACATGACAACAATATCATGAAAATTATTATAATTATTATCAAGCTTCCTCCCTATAGATAATTGCCCTTTGTTATGTTTATGAATACACTCTGTAAATCATCATTTTAAATTAAAATAATAATATTAAAATAAAAAAATTAAATGCAGGCAGGCTTTATACTTTAAAAATAAATAATATTGTATTTGTTTTTTTAAAAAAATATTTTATCAAAAGATTAAAAACTTATGTATATCAAAAAATTATAAATCACACCACTGGTGTTCAACACCACAGTTATATGTATTAATTATTTTTTTATTTATCATATAATTTTTTTATTCTATATCTGATATTATTAATAGTCTAATTAAGATGTTTCCATTAATAAAATATTATAATCCATATTGCTATATTTAATGCTGTAGCATATAATATACTTCACATATATTTTTCTTGGTACTTTTTTATTTTATACCACAAATATTGCAAAATAAAAAAAAATCGAAAAACTAAGTAAATTTTAATTAGAATGACTTCTTTAGTTTAAGCTATAGTTTTCATGAAAACACATACTATGGTGTTGGGCACCAGTGGTGTGATTTAGTAAAGTTGTTTCTTATTAATTATTTTATTTATTGAAATATTTATTTAATTATCTTAAAACCTTTAATTTTTTTTTTTTTTGGAGAAATGTCCTTTCTAAAGAAATATTATTCTATGAAAATATTTACTTTAAAAAGGCTAATACAATAATTTACAATGGACATTTCAACAAAAAAGATTTTTTCTTAATATATTAATTTACCATCCATAAAAGGCTGATTGCTAACCCTAAAGTATAAAGCATAAAGCATAAGACTATGCAATGTTATAAAAATGATGGAAAGATTAATTATATTTGGTTTCAAACTAACTATAAACTGAGTTTATTCATGATCATAATATCAAATATAAAATTAGTTCAAAGTTATGCAAAACTTCACAGGTTTTATGACATTCTTTTCTTTATGTTAATATATATATATAATTATTTAATCAAAATGCTTAGATTTAATAAAAAACAATTCTATAGTCATTATAAAATACTACTTATATTATCAAAGATAGTCCAAGTAAAACTTTGTAATTATCATTTGACTAAGTTTATTCTTAGTATTATAAATTTTATATCATATAAATAAAAAAAAGATTATTGTAATAATATCATGTTTCTTAATTTAGTTAATACAAATTGTTTTTTATTTCTTATTTTTAAGTTTTTCTAATTTATTCTGAGCCTTTTGATATCCTTGTTTAGCTGATTTATTGTACCAATAAATTGCTTTATCTATATTTTTAACAATTCCTTCTCCATTCTCATACATCATAGCAAGTTTATATTGAGCTAAACTGTTTCCTAAATCTGCTACCTTTTGATATAATTCAAATGCTTTTTTCTTGTCAATATCAGTTCCAATTCCATATTGATAACAATATCCTAAATTACTCATTCCAGATGAATCTCCTAAATCTGCTGCCTTTTGATATAATTCAAATGCTTTTTTCTTGTCAATATCAATTCCAATTCCATTTTGATAACAATGTCCTAAATTATTTATTCCATATGTGTTTCCTAAATCTGCTGCTTTTTGATTTAATTCAAAAGCTTTTTTCTTATCAACAACAGTTCCAATTCCATATTTATAACAACTTCCTAAATCAGTTATTCCTAATACATTTCCTAGATCTGCTGCTTTTTGGTATAACCCAAATGCTTTTTGCTTATCAACACTAATTCCAATTCCTAATTCATTAAATTTTCCAAGTAAGTAAATAGAATTCGAATTATTTTGATTATTTAATAATAAATTCTTAATCTCTTGCAAAGTTATATTTTGTTCATTAAGATAACTTAAGACCTTTTGCTTCCCTTCTTCATCACCATCATGAAAAAAATTGAACATATTATTAATTATTATATTAAAGTTATCCTCAAATTGGTTAATTGATATTGAAGATTCTATATCTTTTGTATCCATCATATCAAAATTTTGAATAAGTTGAGATAAGTCTCCATGTAATGAATTAGTACTTTCAGAAACTTTAACATTCAAATTAGACAGTTGATGGTCATATGATAATTGAACATTATTGTTGACATTATATAAATGAAAATCTTTAATAATTATGTTTTCTTTTGTTATAATTGCTTTTAATTCATCAACCACTCGATTGATAGTTGGACGATTATCAGGTTCAATATTCCAACAATCTATCAAAAAAAAAAAAAAATTAAAATTAATTAAAATCATAGGGATAATATGTAATTTTATACTCACCAGTATAAATTTTTATATAATCTTTTGATATATTTGGAATAGGCTCCTCTCTAAGGCCTTGTGAAATACTTATAGCCAAACCAACGTCATATGGTATACCATGAAAAGGAGGCTGGCCGCTGGATATTTCCCATAATAATACGCCAATGCTATAAACATCACTTTTTTTATTTAATAAGTATAATGTTGATGTATTTCTATTAAAGATTTTTGGGTCAGTATAAGGAATTAATCCAAATGTTTTTGATTGAGAGTTTGATGTTTCCTCAATTCTTTTTGATAAGCCAAAATCTGCCAGCTTAACAGTATTCTGATGGATTAACACGTTATTGGAGTGCTATCAATGTTAAATTAACGTTAACAATAAAATAATCATTAAAATAAATCACAATAAATTGTAATATATTTACCAAATCACGATGCATTATCCCTTCGTCATGCAAACATGATACTGCACTAACCAGTTGGAATGCAAGATTGAATTTATCATTCCAAGTGAGATTTCTAAAATTTTCCTGTAAATATTTTCGGAGAGTACCATTGTCGGCATATTCCATTACTAACATATACTCTTTTCTTTGGTCGTCTTTAAAAAAGAAGAAAAAATCATAAATCAGTTAATTAATTGCAGTTTATTATAAAAAAATAATATTACTAAAACTTTTAATACCTTTACTGGAAGTTGTGACACCATAAAAACGGATAACATTATCATGAAAATCTACTTCACGCTGAAATTGAATCTAGCAGTAAATAGAATTTTGTTAATACCAGAAACGAAATGTACATATATAAATTGAAATAATATGTTCGATATTAAAATTACCTCACGAACAATTGCTTTAACTGTAGCATCGTTGAAATTATAAAAGGATTTTAATGCACAATATTTGTAATAATTCTTCCAATTTGCACGATAAACTTTTCCAAAACCTCCGAAACCAATTTCTTGAATATTACAAAATTGTTCAAATTCATAATATTTAATAAGCTTTCTAGAAATGGAATCTTCAATCCATTTAATCCAATCATTTGAATTGTTAATAAGTTCAACGTTGTTAGACATTGTTGAAAAAATTCTTACTGCGGAAGTTAATTTTAAAATTGGAAAAAAAAAATTACGAATATTCTTGTTTAACCATTTATAAATAAAATGGTATCACCAGACATTTCCATGTCGAAAGTTTGCTGATCTTCAGCATGCAGGACCGCAGCTGAAAAGATCAACATAAGATTTGAAATAGCACTTAGGATTTAGGAATATCATAATTAAAATTATTAAATTCAATAATTCCTTCTGAATAAAAAAAAGTTTCACAAAATTTTTGCTAGGGTAACATTCCAAAGTAATTTTATTCGTAATAATATTTTTTTTTTCAAAATTCTTCAACAAAGCTTAAAAGAGAATGTAATTATTAAATCACAATATCACGGGAAATTAACGTGATTTATTGGATTTCTTAAATTTCATAGCGGTAAAGATTCACCCAAATTTTCTGACAAATTTACTATTTCTGAGAAGGTTGTAGCGACTACATAAAATTGGAGGCTATTTTTATGAATATTTCATGACTTTTACAAATTTAATATGCTGTCAGAACATATAGTATGACTGTGTTTGTCTCTTATGATTGACAAAAAAATATTATATATATAATTTTAATAGGCTTATAAATTATAAACGAAGTTTGATTATCTCAGATTTCTTTTATACATATATGTTACAAAAATGAGCCCACATCTTTCTATGATATTAATAATCCTTTACTTTTAATTTTATCTGGAATATACATTGCTTGTTAACACACTATAAAGATTTAATGCCGTATTTTTATTGTATTTGGAAATTTTTATGTAGATCATTTAGCCTTTTTGTTTATATCTCTTTGAAAATCTCTAATGAAAATCTATTCTTTGTTTGATAATCATTCACATGTTGAGTTGCCGTCGATACCAAAAAAATTTCCTTTTTCGTAAAAAACACTCCAGTTAATTTTTAAGTAAAGCAAAGCTTTAACTTTAACTTTAAAGCTTAGCTTAGCTATAGCTATGCTTAAGCTTAAGCTAAACAGATTTGAATGCAATTCATTACCCAATTTTTTGCAAAACTTCTTCCTGTGCCATCAAATATAACCATTAAATATATGGATCATTTCATATTCATATATTTTTTACTTATTTTGTCGATCAAAATAAGAATTATTAATTTCGATTTTATTTTTTTTTATTGAAAAAAAATTTTATTGAAAAAAAAAATTTTCGTTTTTAATAAAAAATTGACCGAAATGCACGGTTTCAGCCATTTTTATAATAACTCATATAAACTTTATTAAAAAAATCATACTGTGATTTCATTTTATTGACAAAATTAAATTAATTTTCGGCTTTTTTTATATCCTTATCATAATGCTAAATAAAATGATTTACTATGTCATACTTGCTAACTGAATATATACCTAGCATAGGATGATTCTAACGAGAATCCGTATTTATGTCACACATGACAAACACATGAAAATAAAAAATTGCTGAGCCACATGCATGTACTTTTTGTACGACAAAAAATAAATAAATCACCAGGACAAAAAGAAAATTCAAGTTAACCAGTACCTTTTTTTTCCCAACCTAATGTAAGAATAATGTGAAAAGGTCCACAGCAACACAGGGCCTACCTTATAAGTGTCAAAAGTGTATGTTATGAAGGGCCGAGGACTTCTCAAGATCGCCAGGCGGAGTTAGTCCAATTTGCGTCTTACAGGGTAGATCCCATGTGAAAAGGTATAAAAGGTCCATATTCATGTGCTTTCAAAGATTTCTTGGCATCAAACAATAAATATTAATTACATTATATCTCATTTCCTTCTTTTTCAGTAAGATATAAAGTGTGAGAATATATAGATTCAGCCAACATTTCCCCAAACTTTTGTATATATTGTAAAATTGGGCATACATGTGAGCAGCGAAGTATTTTCTCACTATAGTCCCGTATTTAGGAAAGCAAGATGTCCTCTACCAAAGCGGAAACTACTGCTGACAGGCTGTAAGAATGGAAACCAGAAAGTTTTTTTTTTGCAGAGGAATTATAAGCTAAGAAGTCTAGAACTTGACAGTAACTTTCTACAAGAAAAAATAACTGATTAACCGATAATTTATTTATCAAGCTAATCAGATGAGAAATTAAAGAATTCATAATAACATTAGAACTTTATAAAATCAAGGTGATTTTCTCGCGACCTTTGTTAGATTTCGACTTACAAGTTTTCTGTTTACGAAAATAACTACGATTTCAACATAGATCATATGACTTTTCGATCCGTTGAGATCCCCCAATTCCCTCTGTCATCAATTTACAGAGTTGCCACATCGAACGGGCATTTCCATGGTCGAACGAACGAATAAACGAATGAACGAACAATTAAACGAACAAGCAATTAATCAACAACATAATTAACAAACAACATAATCAACGAACAACATACAACATTCTTGGTTCACGACATAAATAGCGTTAGTAATATAAAATGTCGAACGATATAAAATAAAATTTAACTTCTCTAAATTTTCCCCAAATTATATCCACTTTTACCTTTAATTTCAAACTTCGATAGCTCTCGCTACGAATTATTACTTTCCAAAAGTGTATATTTAATTCACCTTAAAATTTCCATTTATTCAATTAAAATTAATTAAGCAAACATTAATTAAAGTTTAGGGCGAACCTATTACCTTTAATTAACATTAAACTTTACTAACAAATAATTAAAAAATAAAACTTATATTTTTATTGAGTTCTGTGGATGAGAACTAAGGAATTACCTTGAATTCCGCTCTCTATATATACAATTTTTATGCTACTTTCTATTCTATCTATATACTATCTTTTATGTTCTTTTTACATATTATCTTTGAACTATCTTTCTAATATACTATCTATATTTTAAATACGCTATCTTTTAATATGCTATCTTTTAATATGCTATCTTTTTATATATGTTCTTTTTAATATATTATCTTTTACGTTCCATCTTTATACTATCTTTTTATATTATCTTTTACATTATTTTGTGTTCTTTAATCTTTCTGACATTATTTTATATGTTCTTTTAATTCGCTTTATGTGTTTTGCTTATAATCTATCTTTTGTGGCTTATAATTATTCTTTCTTATCGTTCTTATTGTTAAAGATTGCTAAGCCGCATTTGATCGACTCTATTTATCCTATTGGTTCCTTGTCAATCATTCAATAAATATTACATCATGTAGATCATTACTCTTCCAAAATGTTTATCCTTTTCGGCTAATTATTTATCCATCTACGCCAATAAAAAATTAATTTGTTCGTTCTTAATATTTAATAATTACATTTGGTGGTTGAATTTTATCATCTTTTCGTGCTTGATATTCGACCGTTTACACCATCGATATAACAAATAAAAAAAATTATTTTTATTAATTAAAAAAAGACATTATCTTCGGTTTTTTTTAAACTAAATATTTTTTTAAAAATTATTTTCTGAATTATTTAAAAAGAAAATCTTTTTTAACCAAATAATTTTTTATCAGTTTTTTAATTTAAAAAAAAATATATATTTTTTTCGCCTGGACTCAAATTTCAGCCAAAAATTCTGGAATGGTAAGTTGAAAAAGTGGATTCGTGGTTTTTTTATTATGAGTATGTTATCAACGGTCCTTTCTTTTTTTTTCTTTAGTTGAACTTGGATTTTGGTCTGAAACTCTGAAACGGTAAGTTGAAGGTTGGATGACTCACGTCTTTCAAAAAAAAGCTATTAATTTCTTTTTTTTTCTTCTTTAGACGGGCTATTCCTCAACTTTTTGGACGCGAAATTCGATGAAAACATTCTGAGCCTTTGGATAAGTGAAAGCTTCAGTGTGACGAACTGTTTCTAACAGTTCGATTTTTTCTTTTGTAGCTTTTGTTACGGATATAGGGTTTTGGTAGATGTTTAAATCTTCTTTTATTTATTTTTTATTTTTAACAAAACAGAATATTTAATAATATTTTATTCTTCTACTCTTGTAGTTTAACATCTGGTAGGACGTCAAGTTATGATAAGTGGTCCATTCTTCTTAATTTATATTTCTTATCTTTAATGAAACGAAATATATATTATCTTTTCCTTTGTTTTTTTTACTTTTGTAATTGTGGATTTAAGACGGCTTTGGCAGTAAGTTTTTCTTATTCATTTTTCTTTTTTTGATTTTAATGAATTTAACGAAACATTTAATTAATGCTTCATTTTTTTCTTTTTTTCTTTTAGCTTTGATTTCATAATGGTAAGTTTTCAAAATCTTTAAACTTCATTAAAAAAAAACTATATTAATTTTTTTTTTTACAGTGATCCGGTCAAAAGTCAGAAAGATGATATATCTTTAAAAAGGATATCACATTAAGAATAATTAATGGGCAATTTTTTTATTCCTTTCTTATCCTAAAAAGGCTAGAAAACGTCGCACTTTTGGGCGTTAGTGATAGAATTACTTTCGATTCATTTATTATGTTATCCTTGTAATTTTACTACGATCTGGATTTTCTATTAATAAAAATAAAAAATAAAAAATGGGCAATTTTTTTATAACAAATAAAAAATATAATAACATACTTTAGTTCTTTTGTATACTGTGTATTATTAGAATAACTTAATAATAAATAATTAATAAAAAATTTTAACAATCTTAGATAATCATATGATTAGCTTATGCATAGTGAGATAATCTTACCACACTACTGTGATGTTTATGTAATTTTGGAAAATTAATATTATGAAATTTTAAGCTGTAAAATTCCATAAAGAATTGGTTTTCAAAAGATCATTAATTTATTTATTATATAAAAAAATTTATTTTTATTATATAAAAATTTATTTTAATTTTTCGCGGTAAAAATCATTTACGTAATCTGATTTCAGAAATTGACATGTCGGGAAAATATCATGTCGGAAAAGTTCTTTTCGGGAAAATGTCCATTCAGGAATTTGTCTTGTTGGGAAACCGTTATCGGGAAAAGGTTACATCGGGAAAATAGATGTTGGGAACATTCCGTAGCCATTCGTATTTATAGATATTTAACGAATCTCTTTTTTTCGCATCTTTTAACTCCTTTTTTGCGTTTTTCGAATTTTCACTTTTTTGCTAAAGTTTTTTTTTCTAATATGACTTCTACGCTAACAGTTATTGGTCTTGTAACGAGATTAAAGTCTTCATCACAAATTATATATGGAGAGGCTGTTTACAGAGAGAAAGTATCTAACGATAATATCGTTTTCGGTTTCAAGCAGTTCACCAACGCAATGCATGAATATAACGAATCATTCAGAGAGGGTGATCTTGTGTTGTTCGGAGGTAAATTCACGATTGATGACCAAAAACTACTCGTAAGTATTGGTTTTATGTAATAATAATTGTAACAAAATTATTGTATTATATTTTCATATTTATTTTTTTTCGTATAAAATAGGTCGTTATAGAGATGGCCAATGTGATCGAACCGAAGTTGGGTCGAGATAATGAACCTCTAGAATGGGATCCATTAAAAATCCCAGCTACAAAGCCGTTTATAAGGATCGCAACCTCAGCATACGAGCTGGTGACTATTTTCAATAATATAAAGTTTGTCAAAACCCGTTCACTCATATATACGCCCTTTCATAAAGAAGCACGATATATTAATTTTGAGGTTGGGTATCTGAAAGATGCCAAATAGTTCGACTATTTAAATGATAAATGGGCATCTTACGCCAATTTTTTTGTTGCCGGTTTCTTTGAAGGCATGTATTCTACCGTCGAGAATGCATCAACTGCCACATATGCTCAGATTGATGCAAAGATTATAGATTACGATGCAAGATTCCGACACCCAAGTTCTGACAATCGTCCTTCATCGTCCCCAGTGGCGTCACCATCAACTAACATATTTGCGCAAAGAAGGAACAGATTTTCCTCTGAATCTTCTATTACAAAGAACGATTCAATCATTACAATAGAAGATACGCAAAATGAGAGCGATACTGAAGAAGATCCGATTAGTATTGTAAATGATAAATCACCTAAAAAAAAGCGACAACTATCGGATCTATGTTTAACAGATGATGAATCTGATCTATCTGCCAGCAAACCTATTGAAGAAAACCAGCCATATAGTGAAAAAGGAGGTAGTGGCAAGCGTGGAGGTCGTGGGAAACGTGGAGGTCGTGCAAAAAAGTAAATTTTGAAATTTAGAACTTAAATTTTTCCATTCAAATTTTTTTGCTGTCGAAAAATTTCTTGAATTTTTTTTTTTCGTTTAAAAATTTTTTTTTGTTTTATTTTTGCAGTCATTACGTTCCTATATACTTTTTACATCATTCAATTCATATTTTTTTTGCTTTTTCAATTTCTTCTACAATAATAAAAATATATATGTGGAATAATAAAAAAAAATTAAAAAAAAATTAAAAAAAATATAAGTAAAAATATACAATACAGTAAAAATATACAAGTTTGTTGTCTTTTTTTAGGCGGGTCTTTTAGTTCACTTTAATACAATTCATGTGATCTAAGAAAAGTTCGCTCAAACTTTTCTTAAAATAATATAACATACAATTCATATGATCCAAGAAAAGTTAAAAAAAAATTAAAAAAAATATAAGTAAAAATATACAATACAGTAAAAATATACAAGTTTGTTGTCTTTTTTTAGGCGGGTCTTTTAGTTCACTTTAATACAATTCATGTGATCTAAGAAAAGTTCGCTCAAACTTTTCTTAAAATAATATAACATACAATTCATATGATCCAAGAAAAGTTAAAAAAAAATTAAAAAAAATATAAGTAAAAATATACAATACAGTAAAAATATACAAGTTTGTTGTCTTTTTTTAGGCGGGTCTTTTAGTTCACTTTAATACAATTCATGTGATCTAAGAAAAGTTCGCTCAAACTTTTCTTAAAATAATATAACATACAATTCATATGATCCAAGAAAAGTTAAAAAAAAATTAAAAAAAATATAAGTAAAAATATACAATACAGTAAAAATATACAAGTTTGTTGTCTTTTTTTAGGCGGGTCTTTTAGTTCACTTTAATACAATTCATGTGATCTAAGAAAAGTTCGCTCAAACTTTTCTTAAAATAATATAACATACAATTCATATGATCCAAGAAAAGTTAAAAAAAAATTAAAAAAAATATAAGTAAAAATATACAATACAGTAAAAATATACAAGTTTGTTGTCTTTTTTTAGGCGGGTCTTTTAGTTCACTTTAATACAATTCATGTGATCTAAGAAAAGTTCGCTCAAACTTTTCTTAAAATAATATAACATACAATTCATNAAAAAAAAAAAAAAAAAAAAAAAAAAAAAAAAAAAAAAAAAAAAAAAAAAAAAAAAAAAAAAAAAAAAAAAAAAAAAAAAAAAAAAAAAAAATAAACAAAAAAAAACAACAAAAAAAAATTGAGAAATATTCATCGCGCAATGAAAATAAAAAAATAAATTATTTTTAGAGATTTTTTTTTTCCAGGATATTATAACTTTAATATTGTAACTGATATTAATTTCTAAGCAATAAAAAATAACTTTAGATCCTGAAAACATTTATTCACGAAAAATTAAGTAAAAAAAGATTGATGTATTATAAACAATGTTTAATTTAAAAAATTTTTCTCTAGAGAAAATTCTTATATACTATTTTAGTACAAATAATAAAATAACCAAATAGAATAAATAATTTTTTGGCGAACATTCAGTGAAATGTTCATTTGGTAAAATGGCTTCAGCAAAATAGAAGTTGGTGAAATTGGTTTCGGTAAAATGATATTTTGGTGAAGCATCCCTTCGGCAAAGTATTCCTTTGGCGAAACAACCTTTTAGTAAAATGGTTTTGGTGGGATGGATTTTAGCGAAATGGATATCAGTGGAAAGTTCCGATACCATTATAAAATAATATACAATACAGATAAAAATAGTATGCGCCACAAACTTTTAGTAAAATGGCTTTGGTGGGATGGATTTTAGCGAAATAGAATAAAATAATATACAATACAGATAAAAATAGTATGCGCCACAAAATAGAAAACAATGTATGTCACAGTTAAATTATATTAAAATCAAATAGCAAGGTATAAGATTTTAAACAGTATAAATAGTCTCACTTTTACTTTCTTTTTTTTAATAATACTGATAACTATTTAGAAGTATATATCTGTTTTAAACTATGGATTTAAATATTAATCGTTAGAGAGTTGAATTATCTGATCATGAATCTGAATCTTATTTGAATGAAGATTTTGATAATTCTTTATTTTCAAGCTTTGCAGTACGTCAAACTGCTAATGCAGACCATTCTCGTATTCCAACTCAATTCTCTTCATCTCCTTCAAATATAACTTTTCGAGCTTATTTTCCACCTTGGAGACCTTCTACAAAACTCAATAATTTAAAAATTAATTTTGATAAAAATGTTCTTACTCAATTTCCATGTGTTCCATGCAGCTATTGTTCTCGTTTACAATATCCAAAAAAAGCAAAATGGGAATTATATAATGAAACATATCAATATCCCTTAGAAAAAGTTTACCAAAACAATTCCCAAATTAAATTAGTATTTCATCCTGATGAATCAAAGCCCAAACGTATAGCAACATGTTCTTCTTGCTATAATTCTAATAATCGTCTTAAAATTCCAATTCCTGATCCTATTCCTGATGAAATTCAAAATGTATCCCTGTATCATCGAATTTACCTTTCACCTATTCATCTCAGTTGTTCACTAGGTTGAGTTCCTAACAGTAATGCTTATACAAATTATCGACATTTAACTGGAACCTTTAATTATTCAAAAAATAGTAATGCCCTTGCATTATATTCTGGTACTATTGGTGCTATATTAAGTAATAATAATTCAAATTCATGGTATCATCCTTCACTTAATGATGCAGCAATATGGTTACGTAATCACAATCCCTATTTTAAACCATATCAAACTTTAGTCAATCATGGTACATGGGATGGACCACCAGTTATTTTTCCAACTGCCACATCTAGTGAACTTTCTCAAGACCAAGAACAACCCATATTTAATATTAATTCACGTCCTTCTGCAATTGTATTACCTCCTTATGATTTTGATACAGAAATTCATAATGAAGATTATCATTATTCTCGATTAATGGCTGGATTCTTAACTGATCCTAATAATAAAAAATTGCCAATATCATTTTACGATGAAAATATTGAACCACTTTTATTTCCTGATCTTTTTCCATATGGAAAAGGTTTTTATAAAAATGATGAAAATACAAGGCGAAATATAGATAGCTTAGGTAATTATGCAAAATCTTTGCTCCTTTGTCCTGATCCTAGATGGCGCTTATCTTGGTATTGGCCCCATTATATTTATTTAACACTTGAAAAGTTAAGAAATCATCAAAATAAACTCGAATATTAAATCAACGAAATATTTCTTTATCACATCAATTAACAACTGCAGATTTTATTACTAATAGTGTTTATACTGGTCGTCCTATTATTGATGAAACAAAAACAACAACTGTGCCTTCATATATAAGAACAGGAGATTCTTATTTTCGTCAAAAAGAATATCATATTAATACAATGGTTCAAGGATTTGGTCTTCCTCAAATTTTTTATACTGTAACAATGGCTGAAAATCATTGGACACATTTACATAAAATCTTATCAAAAACTGATAATAAAGATACTTTACCTTCCAATAGACCTTTTCATACTTACTTGCATTATCATCATCGTTTATCATCAATACATCAATATCTTTGGAAAAATCCAAATTTAACAGATTGGGGTAATTGGTTACATCATTTTGAACGAGATGAATTTCAGAATCGTGGAGCAATTCATACACATGGTATTGCATATTTGTCCAAGTCAATTCCAGAATTAATTGATTCTAATGTTATTAGAGCTGATATGCCTGATCCTGATTTAGAACCAGAATTATATGAATTAGTTAAAAAGCATCAAATTCATACATGTAATTCACATTGTGGAGGTCCTGCACTACCTGGATCACGCTGTAAAAAAGGTTTTCCACAACCTTATTCAAATACCACTTATGAAGATCCCAATTCTTTAAGATATATTTATCGACGTACTAAAGAAGAAGATTTATATGTAGTTCCTTACCACGCACCAACATTACTTTTATGGAATGGCCATGTAAATTTTCAATATGTAACAACATGTCAGTTTGCAAAATATATGACAAAATATGTTACAAAGTCTGAACCTACAGAATATTTTGATATTCGTGAACCTGATGCATTTAGAAAACATGTTTTAGCTAGACGTCTTGGATCAATGGAATTAATGATTCTTTTACTTGGATATTCAATATGTCGATCATCAATTGCTGTTGAATTTCTTCCATCTATTCCTTCTGAAATAAGAAATAAATCAGTTAAACCACCCTATTTATTACAACAAGAAGAACAATTATCTCCATACTGGGATGATGCAATTGATAAATATTTTGATAGGCCAACTAAAGATATTTTTGACAATATGATATATCCTATATATCATCGTAAATATGTTATTCAAAAAAATCAACCAACAGGTGGAATATATTATATTGATAAGAAAAATCGTTTTGTTAGAACTAGAACTGTACCACTATGGCCGCCTGGCGGCAGCCTTCAAAATAAAATTAGGTGTAACATGAGCATAAATGCATAGTCAAATAAACATTTTTTTTAAAGAACCCCTAATTGCTTTATTATACTTATATGATAACTGATAACATGATAATCTAGGTTTGTTTATGAAATAGGAAGCGGTTGTGATGCTAATTGTTCCAAGCGAGAATATTCTTTAATCACATTTGGATCTACTTTGAATGCATCCCTATTTAAATTCATTGTTTGAATTTGATCCCATTTAGGACATCTGATTCAGTTTTATTGATTTAATGTTAGTAATTAGTAATCAAATTATTATGAAAGTTTTAATAGTTCGTATATATATGATCAGTGATCTATAACATATATTTGTAATATTATTATTAAGGATCAACAATTAAAATTTACAATAACTTCAATTTTTTTTTTTAATAAAAAATAAATAAATATAATGTTTATTACATATAAGATATAAAAAATACCAGATAATAAAAATGAATTTTAAAGACAGTTCGTATTTGTCAGGTGATCTATGACATGTGTAACATGATCAGCAATTAAATTTTA